ATATATTTTTAAATTTTTCTGAAGAATTTAAATAAATAAATATGTGTTTAAAGCGTTTAATAACTGATAAATTTTATAAAAATAGTTATAGAAAAATTGTAATTAAAATATTGCAAAAATAACATTGCTATTAAAAACATTTTTAATTTCATTGAAGTACAATTCTGCTGTGCGTTGTAAGAAATCGGAATATTAAATTCAAGGAATGACCTCAGAATAAAATATTTTTTTAAAAATGGTGCATACATATGTAATTTGAATAATAATTTTACATGCACGCATTAGAATTTTACACAAGCAGTTTCAGTAATTTATTTAATGCTACTAAACCAAAAGTTTTGGGCATAAAATTTAAATTTTAACATATTTTTTTAAAAAAATTTTAAAAATTAAGTTTATTTAAATTGTTTAATACATAATTAAAATCATTTAATATATAATTTAAATTGTTATGTATAAATGTTAGCACAAAAGAAAAAGTTTCCGTAGTTTGTTTCAATTAAGTATTGAAGAATATATTTAATTATTTTTTACTGAATAAAAGCGGTAAACTCATTAGTTCATAATAGCATGAAACTTAAAAATATTTAAAACATTGCCACAAAAGAAAAAAATTCCAATTAGTTAAAATGAAATGTTAAAAATATTTTAAGAGGTGTTCATAGTTTTTATTTTATTATGTTTCCAGAAGAGTGCAAATGACCCCCTTGTGGACTCTCTTCCTTAAATTAAATAAAAAATTAGAAAATAGTGTAAATGAAAGAGGGGTTGTTTTTTTGTTGACGATAATTTGGTTTCCAATATAACACGGGACTATTGCTCATAAAATTATTATGAGAGCTGTTTTTAAAGAACCTAATGCAAGACTTCTTTAAAAAGCTATCTTCTGTCTTTATACACTATTGCTCCTATTATCGTCTTGTGCAGGAGTCTATAAATCTCGGTCGCTTCTTTCCTTTCCATACCATGTTGGCTATGAAAAATTAATCCTAGAAATTTTGATTTTCTGTAGACCTCTGATCATCTGACATCAAAAGTGTTTTCCACAGAAGAATCATTGCTTGATTATGCGATAATATTGTTCAGCTTAACCATATTATCGCGTAATCAAGTTATATTAAACTTGAAGAGTTTAATATTAAAATTGCTGCAAATTAACACCTATTATTGATCACGGTACAGATATTATAATATGAGAACATTTTTCTGAGAAAGCATAAATTTTTTTTTCGTTAAAAAAGAAATTTTGCTTTTAACAATTTCAAGGAAAGTTTAACTTGGCATGCAATAAGGGTGGGGGGGGGGAGATAAAGAGAACATTAGTATTCAATTATGGCTTCTTTCTTTTTTTTAAATTTCTCGAACATTTATTGACAAAAAAAATAATAATTAATCCATTCCATACCATGTTGGCTATAAAAAATAAATCATAGAAATTTTGCTTTTCTGTAGACCTCTGATCATCTGACATCTGAAGTATTTTCCACAGAAGAATCATTACTTGATTATGCTATAATATAACTTGATTATGCGATAATATTGTTCAGCTTGACCATATTATCACGTTATCAAGTTATATTAAACATTTAAACATGAAGAGTTTAATATTAAAATTGCTGCAAATTAATACCTATTATTGATCATGGTATAAATGTTATAATATGATAAAAATTTTCTGAGAATGCATTAATTTTTTTCTCTTTAAAAAATATTAAATAAGAAAGAAATTTTGCTTTTAACAATTTCAAAGAAAGTTTAACTTGATACGCAATAGGGGGGGGGGGAGATAAAAAGAACACTAGTATTCAATTATCATTTTTTTTAAATTTCTCGAACATTTATTGACAAAAATAATAATAATAATTAATCCATTCCAACCCAAGTTGGCAATAAAAAATAAATCATAGAAATTTTGCATATCTGTAGACCTCTGATCATATGACATCAAAAGTATTTTCCACAGAAGAATCGTTTCTTGATTATGCGATAATATTGCTCAGCTTGACAATATTATCGCGTAATCAAGTTATATTAAACTTGAAGAGTTTAACAGTTTATTAAGGTTGCTGCAAATTAACACATATTTCTGATCACGCTACAGATATCAGAATATGAGCCATTTTTTTCTGAGAATGCATTAATTTTTTTTTCTTTAAAAAATATCAAATAAAAAAGAAATTTTGCTTTTAACAATTTCAAGTAAAGTTTAACTTGATATGTAATAGAGGGAGAGGAAATAAAAAGAACATTAGACTTCAATTGTCACTTTTCTTTTAAAATTTTTCGAACATTCACTGACAAAAAAATAATAATAATTAATCCATTCCATACCATGTTGGCTATAAAAAATTAATAGTAGAAATTTAGCATTTTTGTAGATCTCTGATCATATAACATCAAAAGTATTTTCCACAGAAGAATCGTTACTTAATTATGCGATAATATTGTTCAGCTTGAGCATATTATCGCGTAATTAAGTTTATACTAAACTTGAAGAGTTTCAACAGTTTATTAAGGTTGCTGCAAATTGACACCGACTATTGATCACGGTATAGATATTATAATATGAACCAATTTTTCTGAAAATGTATTATTTTTAAAAATATCAAATAAAATTGAAAGAAGTTTCGCTTTTAACAATTTCAAGGAAAGTTCAACTTAAAGATACGCAATAGAGGTTGGGAAGGAAAAAGATTAGAAGAACATTAGATTTCAATTATCATTTTTCTTTTAAATTTCTCAAACAATTGACAAAAAAATAATTAATTCTGCATTCAATCGCGTGTGCTGCTAATTCTCATCCCAATTTAGGCGAGTCGATTTGCATCAAAAGAAGGAAGTTCACAAAGTGTAAGTGTCACTCACCTAATTTAATGATTTTTCGTTATTAACATAAGATTTTATGTCGACATTGGAGAAAATGTGACATTTTCTTTATCTCTATCTGCATTAGCCAATTAACAAAATTACAACCTTATGTAGACAGAAATATTTTAATGTATCTTTGACAATTTTTAGAAATTATGCGAAAAAGTTGCAGATGACCTAAAAATCAAACTAAAAAAAAACTCAAATTGATACAAAATATCTATGTAATTTTAATTTTTCGCTTATTTTAATAAAAAAATTTTCATTGTTATAGTAAAGATTTCAACTAAATTATTTTATCTAAGTTATTAAAGTAAAGTGAAGCTGAACATTCCTTCAAACGTAGTCTTTGTTTCACGTAAATTTAAAATTTTTCTGTTCTTAGTCTTCGTTTGGATATAGAAGGTCGTTGCCAACCGTTCCCTCTCCTCCTCTGCCACTTCCCTCCCGATCATCTCAACCCAGGCAACTATTTTACCATGGCTCAGTTGGGTTCAAAATTGGCTCGATATGGGTCCTATAAGATTATGCACCGAGGGACCAATATTAGGATGTCTAGATTTTCTAAAATTGGTTCTCGGAAAATTCTATATAGGGCCAACATTGGAAAAATAAAGGCCCTTTGAACCCTTACTTACTGCGCCAAGATTCATGAATATTGGCCCAATAAGGGCCCGCGTTATTTTGCTGCCAGGGAACTGTTGTATATTCGCAAAAGAATTTGTTTTGTAGCCATCTAGTTCTTTTGGAGTCAAAGCATAAAATTAGAAAAAAACACATTTATGATAAGACTGGCAGACATTGTGATGTCATTTCTTGAAATATTTGTCTTGTTTTTTCAAAAGCTGCAACTGCCAAAAAAAAAGTGAGCTCTATTAATTATTATTTTTTTTTTCAGTTTATAATACAATTGATCCACCAATAATCTAACTTCCAAATATCCCACATGTCCTGCCACTCAAGTTCATGAAAAAAAAAAGCAAGTGTTTGCTAGCCTAGATAATTGCTAATTTTGTCATTTGAAAAAGGTGTTTAAATGAAATAATAAGGGGGGTTGCATGGTGTTAAAAAAATTGCTTAAATAAACATATAGCTTGCATGTATTTTTGTTGACAGTTGAAAAGGCAAATGTTATGAATGGAAGGAGGCACCCATAAGTCATACTATGATTGTATTTTCTTCACATTAGAGCTCATTAAGTTTATTGAGGGTTGCAGGATGTAGTATTTATTTATTATTTTTTTTTAAAGTATCACTCAGGAAAAATAGAATCGTAGTTTTGAACTATTTTAAAATTTTTAGACATCATAGATTAGCTTTCATATTCATTCAATTTTACTCTTATGCTCAGATAATAAGAGAAATATTAAAAGACACTATTTTTTGAGGCAATCCTGCAATAAGAGTATCCTGAAGAGTTGACTTATTTGCATCACTTTCTGTTGACACATGACAGAATTCCTCGCGTATAAAATTTTCAACTGGCAAAGAGTAAATTGTACTTTGCAATAATTATTTTCAGAAAAGCAATTAAACATCTATATAGCTGTGTGCTGAATTTGTAACAGTGGCAGGCAGAGAGAGAGAGGTGCCAACGGGAGCAACAGCTCTAAGTGGCATCGAATCTAAGGACACTAAAACTTAAATTTATTGCTGTTTTGTTATGAAATTGAATTTTTTTACAGATAAATATTTGGTTCAGGGAAAATTTTCATGGGAAAAATATTATTTTGAAAAAAATTAATTATGAAGTTTCAGGGTGGCTAAATAAAGATAAATACCATCAATAAAATTGAAATATTCTTAATGATAAAAAATTAGCATAATTTTTTTGGAAATAACTCATTTTTATCATAGATAAATTTCCACCCCCTGTTTTATAGTATATAGGTTTATAAATTGATAAATCAAATATGTGTTTGATGGAATAAGGTATTCCATAGAAAACATTTCTTATTTCAAGGGCATCTAATTAAGGAGTTAGTTTCTTGCATCCATACACATCTGCATGCCACTGATTAGCTGCAGCACCAAATACAAAATTATGAATTTTTTTAACTTCTGTGACAGGCTTTAATCTCAGCAATAAATGCTTAAAGAAGTGTACAAGTACGAATAAAACAACAAGTAAGAAAGGATAGAAGCAGATCTTTATTAATTACTAGCAGAAGCAGAAATATTTCTTGTTATTCAGATCAGATAATATATATTTATCATAAATAATACACAAAATATACAAACACATTTAAGAGTTAAAATATAAATAGGAAACAAAAATGTTGCTAAGCATATGTACAACAAATCTATTGATGTTCAAGGGATAGGTCCTCTTTCTGGAATAATTGGAGTACTTGCAGTAGAAGCAGCACGTCTGTCAGAACCATTCACAACTTCTTGGAAATTATACAAACTGGTACTTCTTGGAGTCCCCATTCGAGTCTTGAAAAATAATTTTGAAAAACGTTAGTGAAAACAATACTTAAAAGATTATAAATATAAGCAAAAATACAAATAATATATAGTTAATTAAATTTATATCGGATGATTAGAAAGTATTACCCTTAAAGTCTAATTTTAGAATATTTCTCAACAAAAAAACCTGCCCAAAAAAACTCACATTAGGAGGGCAACTTGATATTTAAATTAGAAAAAGTAGTAACAGTATCAAACATTTAGCAATTGTTATCAAGATGTACTAGAGCAAAGGAGGAATTAAAATCTTAAAAATTAGTTTACAGATATTCCTGAAAGGTGATTCCTAAGGTAAGGTGAATGCCTTCTAGCAACACTACAAAAATAAACTAATTTTTGGCAATTTTAATTCCTCCATCATAAGCAGTCTTTGTTTTATACTTTATAAAAATAAATAAATAAATAGTCTTAGTAGAGTTTAAGTTTTGATATCCTATGAACCTTTAATGTATTGAGTTAACAATAAATAAGTTCAACAGAATCAAAAAGTGTTAAACAGTTCTTAATTTATTTTAGGACATAAAATATGTAAATAAACACTCTTAAATGCATTTAAGCTTACTTTGACATTTGAGTACGCAGAGCCCATTCTCTCTTCAAATGAACGAAAAGTTGAGGAGTTCCTAAAAAAAATACAAGAAATGAAATTGGGATGGCAGTTTCGAATTTAACCAATATTAAACATATAAAAATATTACTGATACAAACTTCTGGAAAACACAGCTTCTTTTTTGGAGAGATAGGATATCCTTTCACATCACACTTTTTTATTGATTTTAAACTTAACATGTTTTTTTTATAAGGTAAAAGGTGTGTAAAATACTTCAAATATGATAAAATCTAATTTAAAAAGTATTAACTACAAAAAAACAGTCTTGAAAGAAAATAGCGAGAGCCATCTTTTGGTAATTATGACCACTTATTGTTTTTCATTAATGAGAATTTTAATAATTTTTCAAATTGAAAAATAAAATAAAAGTTTTTACAAATAATTGTAGCATGGCAAAATTTAAATAGACAAATTTTAAAATAAAAATCTACCAAAAAAATCAAATATTAAAAAAAAAAAATTTTTAACATTAACACTGTGAAATGATTTTAAACCAATGTTATAGTCATTGGGCAGTGTGTACATAATTTTTACGGTTGTATTGTGGAATAGTAAGATTCGTGTTCTTGTGTACACCTTGAAAGTCAAATTCACTAAAAAATATGCTTATAACATATCCCATCATTATATTTGAAACTGATATTTTTACACTTATATTTACTAATTAATTCAGAGCAATGACTTTATTTGAATGTTTTGAAAAACTGACAATATTCAGAGAAACCACATTTTGTTTTTAATTTCTTTTAGGAATTTAATGTCTTCATATCTAGATAGAAATGAGGTAATACTATATGCATAAAGCATTCAGATGCAAAGCTTGTCTTTTCATATATTTGATTTTTTTAAAAATTTAAATATAAAAATCTTGCCCTGACTTCTTCAGATTTTAACAATTTATAAATTGCGTATCAAAAATTTAGATCAAAAAAGTTAAATGCATGAAGTTTCGATATTTTAGTTATTAAATAATGAATAGCTGATATGACTTGCTTTTTTTCCAATTTCTAGATGCCCTTTAATTTTAATTGAATGAAACATAAAAAATCTCTATCTCACACGAAAAAAAAAATTTAAACACTTTTCTCTCAGCAAGCAAATTTTAATTAATTTTTCTGGAATTTATTCGTATAGCAAATGTGCACTTCACCATAACATAAATTCATATGATACACACTCTTAATTGCAAATTTACTAAACTCATGCTGTTATGTGGCTCATGTTAGAAAAACAGAGGGCAAAAAAAATAAAACTCAAACAAAGAATATAGAAAGAAGAAGAAGTCCAGCTCTTTGAATACATAACTAATGCAGGGAACTACTCAGTGCAGCATGCTATACCAGAAAGACAACTTACAGGGTGAGTAACATACTCAGATATAGCAGAGCATCATATATACAAAAATTCATTGCATGCACAAAAAAACAAAGGGACTGTCAGGAGGTGCGTCAATCATGAACCAGTTGTTAGACAACTCTACATGAATGGTTCAATACACTGCCTCCCGCATCCATTTTATTCTTTCGTTCTATGTCAAAATGTGTTAGCAGATTTAATCAACATGGATTATATCAATGTATTTTCAAAGAAATATCTAATAGTATAATACTGTTTATCAATATTGTAAAAATGCAGAACAAATCAATAAATAAAAAGAAAAATCACTTCTCCCCAACCCCTGTAGTGGTTACGAGGAGAAAGAGGGTGCAAACAAATTTCAAGAATTTTTGCTGTTGTGCCCCTAAATGTTTTTTCTTTATACAAAAGGACCACACCAAACCTTAGGGGACTGGTTTACATTATGTCTATGGAAGCTATCCTTCTTCCCATAGGTATATTCTTTGACTCAGATACAACATGTTAGGAATCAATACAATCAACAATAAGTTTGTATCAAAACCAGTTTGATCAAAAATAATTTAATTTACACAAAAACTAAAATTATGCTTTTAATGATGAAAACTAAGTAATCATTGACCTGTTTTTATCTCAAAATATTTGTGCAATTTCACATGCATACATGAGAGGAGTTTTTTCTCTCGTAAAATTCCTAAAAAAGAATCAAGCTGAAAACCATCTGGATCAACTAGAAACATTAGATTTTATGTACAACAAGAGTAAGCTTTCTTGAAGTCAGCCTTCATGGTCAGTAGTCATTTAGCAAAAAAGTATAAAACTTTCAATTTTAAGTAAAAAGCATTTCATTTTAACACAGAATTTATTGAAAATACATTTTGTTTCATTCTTGACTATTCATAGAAATAGACCCATATAGTGAATGGCTTTGTCTAATATTTTGTACTTTAGATTTAATTGTGACTAAAACAAGATAGAAAAGTTGATAACACATTAACCAGTTGATGGTATATAAGCTTTTTCCTCAACTAGAACTTCTTTTAAAGTTTTCAGAAACAAGTATTTTATCATAAATATTTTCTCACAACAGACTATATTCTTTACAGCCTCTTATGTAATTTGTAAAAACTGCCTTTTTTTTCTTTAAAACTGAAATATATCTATATAACCCGTGAATTTAATTACATGTGAGCATTTCTTTTCAGCAGGTAACATGACAAGCACAAAATTTCAACAAGAAAACTATTTTACTATATTGAGTATGGTAGTTTAAATTTAAAATGATTTCGGGTGATATTTAAAGAATAAGAAAAATTAAAAATCCAGATGCAAAAAAATTAGAGAAAAATCACTATAATTATCCTTAAAAGAACTCTCAAACTGGTGGTTTAAACTTCAATAGAGAGCATTCTTAATTCTTTTTTGAAGTCTAAACAACTCTTTAATAAAAATAAAACTTTTGTATTTTTATCTTTTTAAAATGAGCTATAAAAAAATTTCTTATTTTCAATATATTTTAAACAAATCTTTTACTACAGAGGTAGAAAATTATGAAGAAGCATAAATTTTCTGGAGAGCACTATTTAAATCGACCTCTTCCAGGGCTTTTGAGAAGATCAATTTCTCTTACATTAACGAGTAACCATTAAACAAGCAAATAATAATGAGTTATTTCAATAAACTATCTATCTTTTTTAGCTTAGTACTAAATTAGCTATTTTAATTAATACTTTAAATATATTTTTGTAATAAATGTCTTAAGCCTATTACTTTGTTGATGCAACATTGCCAATTATGCAAAAATTTGGTGACTTTTAATATGTTATTGATGAAATAGGGACATGTTTTGCAATCAATTATAAAGTTCATTTTAGAGTTTTTTCAATACAATAGTAGCTTAATTGCCTTTAATAAATAAGCTTGTTAGTAGTAGAAAATGTTTGGCAGCCCGGAAAATATTTCGTGTTAGTTAACTTCCATGATTACAGGATTTAATATTAAGATGAATACCTTTTTTTAAGATTTCTCCAAATTTGAAAAAAAAAATCTTGATTCCTAAAAGAATTTGAGGTCTAAATAAAACCGTTAATGTTATAATTGGGTCAAAAACTATAATGGATAGAAACATTTTAAAGGAAAATTGTTTCAGTTGGATGTACAAAACAACAGGGATTGAATTAAAGAACAGATTTATCACCGAAACATAAAAGCAATAATGCCAAGTCAAAATATCTCCATAATAACCAGTTAACTTCCTTTTAAGATTTAGAAATAAAGATAAATTATAAGATGGTAAAATAAACAAATACAGTAAATTATTCAAGACACAAATGTCCAATTTTATCAAAAATATACCAACTTACGAGTCCATTATCATGAAATAATAAAAAACAATTGTTTTTATCCTGGTACTCCAAATGAAAGTGACAAATTATAGCTACTCAACATCTCAAAACATTTAGATATTATTTACCAGTGATTGCTTATCAAGGCAGAACAAATAAATTATAGACAGAATGATTCAAAAGCAGAGGAGAATTTTTGCAAATTTTTAATTCTTCTTTGTAATCCTATTCCAGAATTTCTTACTTTGTTTTAGGATCAAGAACAACATTAAAAACAAAACAAACAATGCTTTGTGATCTGTCACAATTTCATCAATTAACTATTCTTTGCGATTGATCTGAAGTCTCTACTTTTTATTAGTTCGTAATTTATGATGCAAAGTCAATTCCAAAAAAAAAAATTTTTGAGTCATTGTTAAATCATTGTAACAAGTGTATTTCTTGTAGCTATAGTGACATTTATTGCATTGGAGTTAAGAAACTGCTTAGAAGAAATAAAGTTTTTTGTTCCTAACTATCTTTTACAGATGGAGTTTTAAAAATTCTTCAACTAATCCGTATGGGGAATAAGGACACAAAATTATTCCTTTAAGAACTCGAAATATGATTTTAAGTTTTGTAAAATAAACATAACATGATTAAAACCTCTGCAATTTTGTGTATTTACAAACAACAACAACATGTTAAGTAATAAAGAATTATTCCTACATTTTATAAATGATTGCACAGTAACCAATTTAATATGTAGTACAAAAAGAAAAAAATATGTTTAAATTATTTGTGTGGTCTTTGATTCATTTTAATAGGCAAAGTAGTTATAGTTATCGCCCAAATCAAAGATTGCTCTTGTTTCTTGAAATTGTTTTCTCTACGAAAGATCACTAAAGCGTTTTTATATCATTCTTAAATAAAACTGAGAAAGGTCAAGCATTAGATTAAAAAACTATTTTAATGAGAAAGGCCAAGCATTAGTTCTTTGCAAATCAAGCATTAGATTGGGCTTCACTACAAACAAAACAACTAAAATGAGATTATTTTGAACTGATTAGAAAAAAAAATAGAGTAAGTAAACTGACAGATATACACTGCTTGTATAAAGACGACAAAATCACTTTAGAATGAAAGCTACAAAAGAAGTCAATAAAAAGCTTTATTTTATTATTTTTTGACAATTCTGAATGAAATTTGACAATTCTGAAAGTTTTTAAAAAATGTAATAACTTGTAGGAAACTAATTTTTAAACAGCTATTTTCATTTTATAAAAAATAAATAAATAATAAATGAATCTAAAATTGAAATAAATAAAAGTACGCATTTAAAAATAGTATTTATTTCAAAAATTAATAACTAGCATAAACAAAACAAACACAAAACATTTTTCCTGGTCCAACACAGCTTAATAGCCCCAAAGGCAAACTTTCTTTGTTCATATTATGAGTGATCATTTTCCAAAAGTTTTACTGTAATCAGAGATTGCTGCACTAAAATTTAAAAAGAAAGTTGATTGATATTAAAAATTTCATTATAAAAATTAAAAATTTTTGCTTAATACTGATTTTTAAATTTAAAAAAAAATTTAAAACTGTATCAACTAAAATATATTATGACGGCAGAAAACACAAAAGTTTGTCATTATTTCAGATTATTTGTAAACATAAAATTCCATAATAAAATTCAAAACATGTCTGAAGTTTCCATGTAGCAAAAAAGGTGAAGAAGGAAGAGTAGAGAGGAAAAAGTAAAGTTCTAGAGAGGGAAAAGTAATCAAAACAGCAAAATTATTTTCTTTTTAAAAAATAGAAAAATCAAACAAAATTCCTAAGTTATAAAATATATAAGTATAGTTAAACATTTTAATAGCAAATTTACTTATTTTCCTAAAGCTAATTTTAACAATTTTTGTTTGGCTTTCTACAGATAATTTAAACTCAGTGAGGGTTTTTAATAATGTATACAGAAAACTAGCTAATAATTTAAAAGCATAGAAATTATAATTGTTCATGATAAAAATAATATAAGTAGGTTTATGTTGTACCAGAAAACTAAGATTAAAAAATGTCAATATGCTTTAAATTTTATATAATATTGATTATAAAATTTATAATTCACCCATACCTTATAGAGATATTCATCTGAGTGCGAATTTCAGTGCATAATGATGTTATTTGGAACACACATTTTCTTGCATTTAACATGCGTAGATTACATAAACTTACAGCAATTAAAATTACTTACGAAATATAAACTATAAAGATTTAGAAGGCTTTAAACTGAATAAGTGGACCAATTTCATTAAAAAAGAATCATGAAATTATATTTTTAAACATTAATTGTTATTTTCATATTGTGAATAAATATTTTTTTAAATATATTTTAACATTACAAAGTGTATTTTTCTATATTATTATAAAATGCGTAAATAAGTATTAATACACTGCACAAACCAAAAAGAGGATATTGTGAGTAAGGTATGACACAACTAGATAATCAACATTTGCTTTAAAAAAAATGGAATAGAAGAGGTTAAAAAGAAAAACTATAACATTTACAAAGTTAGGAATTCAAAAATTTTGTTTGCGATGAAGAAAATTATGCATTTTAGATATGGAGTGAAAAGAGAGTTTGAGGTAATTTTTGATGCAGGAATCTTTTGATTCAATTCGCAAGCATGTTCTCCTGATATGGACTCAATATAATATGTTTGGGACGTTTGAAAAAGAAGTGCTAGTAATTAAGCAGTTGGAATGCTCCTTTCATAAAGAGTAGGAAAGAATATCCCCTAAGTCGATAACCTTATTGATGTGTGACCTCATAGGTGTGTGACATTTTTGATCAGAGAAAATCATGCCCTCAATTAAAACTCATTTTTATCTGAGAAATAAAATTGTTTGCTTGTGTGTAATAAATATGCTAGAAATGCATACTTTTTGCTGACTAGCAAATATCATCAATAAAATTTTATCATCACTAGTTCATTATTTTATTTTATTTTCACATATCTTATAACATTTATACAGTATATATCAGTCAACAAAGCATTTCTTCATACACAGTTTATGGATAAAATTATAATATCCCCTAATTGTTTTGGCAGTGTAAATGAGATTTAAAGAGATGAAATAGATCAAATGACAGAAATGTGTTAGTCTTTATAATTTTAATGATAAAACTTGATTTTGAATATAAAAATGCTACAAATAATGAAAAAAAAACTAACATATGAATAACTGAACTTCACATGAAATGACAGAGCAGGAGTAATGTGCTGGAAGTGCTTACTATTCAATTTATGGTAAACCTTTATAACAATTTTGCTTTTAAATTATAGATAATAAAATGAATTATAAAACTATTGCAATTTTTTTTAAATGTTAATAACAAGCATATCAATAGTATAAAATTAAAATCTAAAAAGTAGCATTTTAAATGATTTTGTGCTTTTCCATTTAAAACATTCTATGTAGTTTTAAAAATTATCTTTACAAAACGAGAAGAACTCCCATTTCACAGTAAATGTAAGATATTTATTAAAAAGAGTTTTAGTCACAGATTTAGAAGATTCTTTGTTATTTTAAATGAGCTAAGCTAATGTAAGGTTAAACTTTGAATTTAAATTTTGATTATATCACATCACTTAAGAATAATATTACAGAAAAAAATAATATTAAAACAACAATTCAAGATTGAAAAGTAGAAAAATAAATACAATACTTACTTAACATCCCCCAATTTTTTGCTCATAGTGGCACCCAAACTTCCAAGAACAGATGATGTCTTTTCAGTGGCTGTTTTTAGTGTCTGGCTTGTTTTCTGGTAGCTAGAGTTTTAATTTTAAACAAATTAAAATGTAATCAGAAGCAAATAAAAAAATGTTGTTATAGAGCATTTTAAATAATAATTTATTGAATTTTATGCTTTTAATGTATTTAATAATGCGTGCAGGATTCAATGCATTGCCAAACACAAATTTTGAATACAGAAAATACATAGTCTCACTAGCAAAGAGGGCATTAATAACTTTTAGAGAAAATTTAAGAACCAAATTATAAAAATATACTTTTTGGTAAAAAAAATAGATATCAAAGTTATAAATTCTAACAAAACAGAAATTCTCACAAGAGGGTTTAAAAGCAAATTTTACATATTTATTTATCAAAAAATGGCTCTTTAAAAATAATTACTTTATATTATTACTTTGCACCGTAAAAAAGTTAAAAACAAAACTTTCTTTTGAAATGCTCAACTGTTAAAAATACTTAAAAAATAAAACACGAGTTAAAAATGCAAAGTAAGAAAATAAAAAAAAATTATGGAAATGTATTTTTATAAAATATGTTAAAATAATCATATTTTAATATATTTTGATTCAAATAAAAATATATCACTGAAAAAAAATATTTTTATATACATTTTCCTACAACTATGTTTGTTTACGAAAAGTAACTACATCAAGGATTAGTTTCACAATATAAATAGAATAATCATAAAAAAATTTTTTATTTGGTCAAATTGAACTAAAAACAAACAAGATAAATTTAAATATATTAGATTTTGCAAATTGTTTATTAATTTAATTGATTACAAATTTAATTCTTTATTAATATAATAGATTATTAATTTAAGTGGTTACTAATTGACAAATTACATTAAAATACAATATTGATTGATTATAGATTCATTTATCATGAAATATAAAGAACATGGATAGTTTTGGATTCTAACTAAATCAAAACACATACATAAGTTAATAAAAAAAATACTTGACCTAAAACAATTATTCAAGATCTAGAAGACAAGTAGAGTGCTCAAAAACATGAGAAAAAAGTAAGCATCATACAGGCTATAAAACGAAAAATATGATAGGTAATAAATAATAATTTTACTAACATAGGTGCATTTGTAATAGCACTATTCCATTCTACTAGCCTTCCACCAACTTCCTTCATTCTAAAAAGATTACAAAAATTAGAAATTGCAGCTTTAATATTAACATCAAAAAACAGTGATAATTTATAAGTCAATATTGTGCTTTCAAAAACTTAAAACACTTAACTAGCAAGCTTTAAATGATTTTTTTAATAAACGTAAATTAGTTGAATATTGAAAGACCTAAAATCTTGAAACAAGTTGACTTGTTTCTAAACAACAAAAAAATTTGAAAAAAAGTAACATTCACATTTTATATTTCTTAACTGTTTTGTTATGGCCGGTTCTGCTCAAGTGAAGCAACTGAATGCCACAACCAGCAGTGAAGTATCCACATTGCATGTTGGTAAGCAGATGTTTGGATTTTCTTATTAAGGGGTTATATAACATTATATTGGGAGATTTAGCAATCATTATGAATAAAAATGCAATTTAGGATAATTAAAAAAATTCTTAGTAATTTAATTCAATATAATAAGTCTTCAATCTTGTTATATTTTTCTTTCATACCCAACAAATACTTCATTCCTAAATATAACACACAGAAAAACTTGTTTTGACTTACAAAACATTTTAAGCATATTCAAAATATATTTTTAGTTGTATTAATCCAACATAGGTCAATGGAATATTAGTAAGTGGCAGTTTGAAGCAGATTGAACTGGTTATCAAACGGAATTATGCTTACACACATAGGCTAAATATGGCAATCATAACAAGAGAGTTATATATCATTTTAGAAACATAATTTAAATTTTTCAAAGCTTTTTTTGTTCCTTAAAATAGTTTAACCCGAAATTTGCATACATCTAAAAAGTCAAAATTCCAAACATTTTCCATATACCGTATATCTTGTTACATAAGTCTACCCAATGCATAAGTCTATTTTTAATTAAGAAACATCAATTTTTGGTATGTCGAGTGTATGAGTCGATTGCAAAACAAATCAGACATGAAAATTTCCAAAAATTAAAAAAAATATATTATTGAGCTAACAATTTTTATGTTGGGATGTCAAATTTTTGGTATCTCGAGTATATAAGTCAATGGCGAAGCAAACCAAATGTGAAAATTTTTAAGACTTGAAAAATATTATTAAGCCTACAATATTCATGGTGATCCTATAGACATCACATCATATGTCAAATGATACAACATGTGGCAAATTGTAGATTAAAAATTTATTGTAAAATCTTCTAAAAAGTTTCAAATTCCAATTTCTTTAGATGGGGGTGAAGGTGATTTTTTGTGGGACTCAGCAAATGAGGATGAAGTAGAACTCATTGCAGAGTCGGATTCATTCTTATGACACAGACGTTTTGGAATCTATAAATTGGTGGTTTTACAGTAAGATTTAAATGTTTTTATTGTGTTATATTTTTTGAAGTGTTCTTTAATAAATTATCTCATTTCATTCTTAATTTTTTTCTGAATGTAATTTAAAGTATTGTTTTTTAAAAAAACCTGAATATGTATAGAAAATAAGATTAACCATATAACATATTAAAAATAGTTTTTTAAAAAGGGCAAATAGATACAGAGTATTCATATCTCAATGTTTCTAATACATTGATATTCAACGATCAGGCTTCATTACCGATATAATAATTGACCTCCTGATTTGGTAAAATTTTGGGAGCTTGAAAAGTAGACCCATACTCTGGGATATATGGTAATTGAAGAACGTTGCATAAGTCGAATTGGTACTAAATGAAATTTAATGAATTTTGGGTTTGAAAACATTTTGAATAGAAATTTTTTTTTCCTGCCTGATTATTATAAAAGATGGTTTTTAATGAGAAAATTTTTTATAACAGCTTCCTGTTGTTGATACATTTTTTAAAGCTGTTGTTTCAAAATTTGCTGAAATGTCACAAAGAACCTTCTTTAACTAGATTAAACCTTCTTTAACTTCAAGCAGATTAGAGTTAGTCGTGTAACTTACGCAGAAGTTTCTTGGATATTTTTCAACCCTTGTTCAACATCTTCTTTTAATTCTTTCCATGGTGTAATACCTAATTTTCTTTTTAAATCTTGAGCATGCTTAACTTTTGCAGAAAGAACTTGTCGCAAAGTAGCTATTTCTTCCTCAGTCTGAAAAAATTAAAAACAATTAAATAAACATGCAATAAGACATGTATAAAAAAAGTCAATAGTAATTAATTTACCAAATAATATTTATCAATTTTCATTATTGGCAAAAATAATTAAAAAAATATTTACAACACAGCATCAATATAAAATTTCTCTTTGTCATAAATGACAATAAGATTGGCAGAGGAATTCCAAAAGATAATCAATAAAACCAAAAGAAAACAAAACAAATAATGCCAACCTATTAAGCTAGTACTGATCATGTCAAAACATTTTTTACAGTACATTTATAAAAACTACATCAATTTAAAAGGTAATATAAAATAACTGTATTCAATAATAAGTGTATTAGTAATAAATCATAATTCTTTTTAATTCATAAGTAATAGAATTTTAAGCAAAATAGTAAACATAGTTTATCAGGATCTCTATTGACAATTAACATTTATAACTATAAAATTAAGCACACTATTAATTTATTCATTTTTTTAAACAATTATAAAATGTAAGATAAATTTAAAAATAAAAAAAAAATCAAATTCTAACAAAGATTCTGACAAAACACTCATTTTACTTTTTTTCTTTTTAAAAAATTTGCTAAGAAATAACATTTCTTATAAATAAAAGAAGTTTTTCCAATTTTAATTAACAATTGTAAATAATTGCAAATAGACAAAAATAGGCATAGGACTATTTTACACTGTTTGTCCATCATGATAAGTGAAATAATAAAATGCTTTAAATGCACCTGAAATTGAAAAAATAAAGTGCAAAAAAGAGTTTCGTTTATGACTGATGAAAGAACTCTTCACATATATACATTTTAATTTAAAAAACAACTAAGGAACTTTCAACATAGTCTGTTCTTCGTCGTCAAAACTGTCAAAAATAGAATTCTGTGGGTTTTCCTCTTCACAAGAGGGTGAGGACGAGTCGACGGAAGCGTCCGATTTCAATTTTTTGTGCTTTGAATGTATAGGCGAACTTAGAGTTCTTTTTTGGTTTTCTTTGGTGCACCCATCAGGTGTATCATCTGAAAACAGAATAATTTTAACATTCAGTTTAAAAATAACACTTCAAGAAGTTAAATACTAAATGAATAACTAACTATAGTTCAAAGATAAACCTTTTCCCACAATCAGTGGCGTAGTTTTATTGTATGTTTGGAGGGGGTTACGCCTTCTGACATGCATATATACACACCTGCCAATTTCTACAGTTGATGAAAAAGATTTTTTAATAATTAAACTAATTAAAAATTTAAAAGCTAAGTAAGCTAACAAATAGATCATATTTACATATTTTTTAATTATTGACTTGCGTGGTAGATTGAAATGCTTTTAAAAAAAAAACTTTAAATTGAAGATTTAATACGTCAAACATCTATTATGTTGCAACTACTAAGAAGTTCTTTTCTCGACAGTTTGCAGCTCTCTATATATGTGTGTGTTTTAATTATTATTATTATAATAAATAAAACACACACAATAAATTAAACATAATATACACTGTTTAATTTATTTAATTAATATATAATGTTTAAATTACGAAAAAAATNAAACCACTAACAAACAAATGCTCGTTTCAAGCCTTCTGTAAAGCATTTGTACCTACAAGGTGTCTATTTTGCTCAAAATCGAAGATGCTCCACAATTTTGTATTCTCTCCCCCCATCTTGTACCGCTTTTGAAGATAGGAGCACCATGTTTTTAAGTATTGACGCCCATTTTTCTCTATATTGATGACGCTCTACAATATTTTAAACCCTTACCCCATCTCATACTGATTTCGAAGATAGGAGCACCATTTCTTAAATTTACCACCAGGTGGAGCAGTAATCGGTCTCATCTCGAAGATCATGGCCACTTTACTATACCTAGACACCAGTTTTAAAATCAAATCTGCAACCGTTCGAAAGTTAAGAGAGTTGGATTCGGACCTTATTGGGTACCCTACGTAATCTCTTAATTGTTTAAATTCGACACTATTACATCACGAAGTACGAAATCGCTAACTAACAAAAGCGCGTTTCAAGCCTTTTTTCAAGTATTTATGCTCACAAAGTCTCGATTTTGCTCTAAATCGATGACACTTTACAATTTTGTAACCCGTTACCCCAACTCGTACTTCTTTCGAAAACAGGGGCTCCATCTCCGTAATTTACCTCCAGGTGGCGCTGTAATCCGTTTCATCTCGTAGATCATGACTACTGTATTATACCTAGATGTCACTTTTATAAACACAGCTACAACTGTTCGAAAGTTACGATATTTGGATTCGGACTTTATTGGGCACCCTGTGTAGCCTCTAAATGGGTGAAATTCGATCGTAAAATAATTCCATCACAAGTTACTCCATGCAATTATTTTTTTCTTCTCATTTTCATAGTTAATGAATTTTTGTGTTGTTACGTGATGAAAAAAAATGCGGCGTAATATTAAATACCTGATAAAGAGAACACACACAAACAAAAGGAAAAAAAATCAAATACAAAAGATATTGCTTTGATTAAATCTTCCTTTTCATTTTTATAGAAATGGCAATAATCTTCGACATTCAATAACGCTCATTATTTCGAATTTACTATAATCATGAATTAGCCACACTTACCTTAATCGAACGTAGTTAAAACGAATATTCCACGCAAGTTTTTTTTTTTTTATTTAATTTTCATCATTATTTAAACAAAAACAAAAAAAAACAAGGAAAAATACTAGTTCCAAAATGCCCATCACATGTTTTTTTTTTATTTTTATTCAGAACAATGCGTCTTCAAAGAAAGACAGAGTTTGAGAATGCCATAAAATTCCTTACGAAATATAAATGGAAATAAATGCTTTTTTATGGCAATTTTCATGAGCCATTACACTTATCAATAAAAAAAAATTAAGTGCCATTTTCTGTAAAATTACCTTACTCAAAATCGGGATAAGAATTATTCATTGATAATGTGTAAAAATTATATAATAGAGATAAATCTTCGTATTTTTTTCACAGCATCGAATTTATTAATTTATACTTGGTTAATAGAAAATTAGAAAACAAATTTTGATAGATATTTGGCAAGCAATAAAGGTACAGTGCGCAATAAAAATAAACGGACCACCCTAAATGACTTTTCAGATCTTCAAGGTTCAATCTTTATGGTTCGAAGGGGTGACTTCAAATATGCTAATTAATTAGCGCAGACGATATTTTAGGCTACAAAATTAGGCACAAAAAATTTACCCTTTTTGAATAAACATACCTTTATTTTAACGGATTCGAATCTTTGACCCTAAAAATATAGGAAGTAGCCACAATTTGGGAAATATGGTCCTAATAGTTTAATCAAGAGAGCACTCCTAAGTTAGAATCCTTCAATGTTAATTTTACTTTTTGCGTATTTCGCCATATCTCAAAAGCTTTTTAAGAGAATTTAAACATTTTTGCAAGCAATTATAAAATTTGTTCATTCAAAGATAATTTCATGTACAATATAACTTCTAGTAAATATTTATTATAATAATAATAAATTATTTTATTTAATAATGTCGAAAAAAGTTTGAATTGTATGACATACAAATTTTTGCATCATTTTAAAGAATGCAATTTAAAATGGCAAAATACAAAATTTGAGCTAAATCGTTAAAATAGTTCCTGAGAAATTGAGTTTTAAAAACGCGTCTCTTAAGTATAAAATTTGGGGAAAAAACAATGTTATTAAATAACTCATAGTGAAATAAACAGTTAAATAATCAAATACAGAGCATACGTGAAGTACATATATACATGGTATTTCGTAAAGACCACCCTTAATTTGTATTTTTAAAATCCTTATCATGTTAATAAAAAAGTATGCAAAGGGTAGCAAATTAAGAGAGGAAAAAGCAAAAACGCTATAAAAATGGGACCAATTACATTAGAGGAAGGCAGATAAAATATCAAAACGGGCTTAAGTAGAGATTGAAACTTAAAAGTGATTCTAATAATCATTTTTCAACTCCTCTGTTTCCTTCTTCAATCAAATCTGTCTGGTTGATAGATACGCTCGCCATCCTGTACTGTGATTTGTCAGATTTCGATAGTGTTAATGATTTTTTCTCTGTTAAATATTCATTTGCTACCTCAAATGTGTTTTGTTTATTTTCTTCATTTTTGATGAAGATTCCAAAAGTACACATGAAGGGTGCCTTTACGGAACACCCTGCATATAATTGGCTGCAACACTGGACCAATTCGCTCAGTAGCAACTGTATCCAACTATTGAGAGAAAAATATTTCTGAATGTAAATCAGAATTAAAAAAAATATAACATTTATTGACGAAAGTTAAATAAAGAGGAATAAAACAAGTCTGCTACTAATCCAGAAGATATAAAATACTGTTAGTAAAAATATTTGTAAAGTTCTAGGTTATAAAATTGTTAAGGACATTGATATAATAAAATTGATAAAAATTATCAAAATTAAAAAAAATGATCAAAATTAAAAAAATCGGAAGAAAAGTTGGACAACGTACAAAACTTTGATGGCTGGACTCCGTCAACATGGATTTTAAAAGATTCGAACTGGAGAAATGTTCTAAAGAAGGCCAGGGCTCACACCGGGCTGTCGTGATGATGATGATGAGTAAAAGAATTTTATTTTTACTTTATTCAAAAGAATGAAAGTATTCGTAACTACCATTACATATTAAGCGTTATAATATGATTTACTTGTAAGATATTTTGCAAGTAAATATATATTTTAAAATGGCGTAAGATAAGTGGTAACTAAGGATAGTAAATTATTTGAAAAAAATAAAATAAAAATGGTATGTTTTTTCCAACCGGTATTTTACCTTTTCCGGAATAATAACAGCCCTGATAAAAAATAAGAATTCTCTAAAATTCCTTGTAAAGAGATAATAGTGATCAAATTTTATATAATTAGTGAATAAGATATCAATAACAACTTGAGTAAAATGCTTTTTTAAACAATTTCTGATCCAGAGAAAAACTATTCCATTCAAATAATTAATAAAAAAAGTGTTTTGATCCAATAAATAGTACTTATTAAAAAAAGCTATAATGCTGACAAAATACTGAGTGTTCTGCATTCACTCCCTCAATGTCCATTTTAATAATCCTTGACAAAAATAAAGTAAAAGTTAGACAAATTAGAGGACAAATAAAGGCGAGATTGAAAAAGAAAATTTTTTTTTTTGTTGCCAGAGGAAAAGGAGAAGTGAAATACAACTATCATAAATCAGGCAAACAAATTGGTTTAGACATTTTCAATCCTGCTTCCTTCAATAGTGATTTGTCATATTTTGATATCGTTTTTTTTTTCTTCCTCGCTTAAATATTCCATACCCATATAAATATTTCTCGCTAGAGGAAAATTAGATTATTAAAAATATGCGATTTTATCTGACAATGAAATTGGTATAATGTTTTTAATTCCGCCTCCCTCTATCTCGAATTTTCATATTTTGATGCCATTTTCTTCTTTGCGTAAATATTAACTTGTAGTTTCGAACATGCAAACTTTACTTAATTTTTGACGGGGATTCTAAAAATTTACATAAAGGATTACGGAACACCATTATTAATTTCAAAAACTAACCTTTGCTAATTCTGTCTTCAAGTCATCCTCTAGTTTTGCTCGTTGTTCAGGATCAGTGATTCCTAACTCATGTATTCCGCTGTCAGGTGTAGCATCATACGCTTTATCTTCAGATGCCTCAAAATAACTATCTGTAATAAAATAAAAAGTTTGAGAAAAATCCTACATTGTAAACCAATAAACTGACAACCGATAAGAAAACTCAAAACAGGAATTGTTAAATGATGTAACAAACAATCTAAATGACTATCTGTACCTCAAAATAACTACCGGTAATAAAAACAAAAAATTTTAAAAAAATTTGAAAAAAATCTTCAATTGGAAACAGAAGACCAATAAAAAGACCGGAAAGAAAATGGTTAAAGGATTTAACAAACTATCTAAATTACTATCAGTACTTCAAAATAACTATCTGTAATAAAAAGAAAGTTTGTAAAAAATCTTAAATTGGGAACCAATGAACTAAGATAGATAGAATGACCAAAGATAGAGATGGTTAAAAGAGATCTGTGATAAACGATCTAAATAACTATCTGCAACAACAAAAAATTGAGAAAAATCTTTAAATGGAAACCAATGAACTGGAGACTGATAGGGAAGACCAAAAAAAGAGATGGTTAAAGGATGTGAAAGCGATTTAAATAACTATTTGTAATTAAAAAAAAAGTTTGAGAAAAATCTTACATTGGAAACCAATGAGCTGAAGACCGATAAGGCCATTAAAAAGAAAAGAAAAAAAAAAGACGGATAAAAGATGTAACAAACGATCTAAATAATAATAAAAAAATCAGTTTGAGAGAAATCTCAAATTGGAAACCAATGAACTGAAAGGAAAGATAAAAAAAAAAAGGGGGAGGGGGAAGAGATGGGTAAAAGATGTAACAAACGATCTAAATAGCGCGACGTATCTACTATATATAAAAAAATAAATTAATAAATAAAAAAGCAGTTTGAGAAAAATCTCAAATTGGAAACCGATGAACTGAAGACCAAAAATAGGAAGACCAAAAAAAAGGATAGGAAAAGGATAGGAAGACCAAAAAAAAAAAAANAATTGGAAGAAAAAAAAAAGATGGATGAAAGATGTAACAAACGATCTAAATAACAACGTATCTGTAATAATAAAAAAAATATATATATTAAAAAAAAAAAGAAACTTGAGAAAAATCTCAAATTGGAAACCAATGAACTGAAGACTGATAGGGAAGAATATAAAAGAAAAAAAGAGATGATTAAAGGATGTAACAAACGATCTAAATAACTACGAGACTTTACAATTCAAAAGTTTTCGGTCATTATTAAATTAAAAAAGAAAAAAAAAATTAGTTATAATTTTCATTTTCGAATGAAATTATTTTTGGGTGACAATATTAACATGAAAAGATTCTTCAACACGCGTAATTAGTTACAGAAATAAGGTGGTGAAGTATACGGAAAAAAATTAATTAACGGATCTACATTTTTGGTCTCAGAATGATATCTTGCCTTAATTATTTATACTATTTTTACACACGTGTTTAAACTTTTTTTCTCGTGATCAAATTTTTTAAATCATGATGACAATTAAAGTTTACGATAATGATTAAATGAAATAACAAAACATAAGAATTCCAAAATAATTCTTAGTACCGAATCACTGTAAAATAAACAAGTTCTATAATTGAGTTCAAGAATTCCTTTATTTGCTCCAATATTTCAGAAATATAGTGAATTACGCAAAAAGTAAAACTTTCTTAAATTTTCGTTTAAATAGTTAAGACTATTCTCCAATTCAAACCATATTTTCAAGAATAAGACTATCCACTTAACCTAGAGGATTCAAAAATAAATTCAGCGAAAAAATGGTGTGTTTATTCAGTATCCGTATTGTGCATTCACAGAAATAAAACGCTCACTTTTAACGACTCAGTAATCCTTCAGATGTATTTTGTTAATTATGATAATAATTTCGTTACAAAATCACGTGATTTGTAATGAAACGCGAACTCTAAAATATATAACGAAAATGTTTTCTCAATTCGGAACCTCACCGCTATCCCACCGTTTCAAATCTACGAAAGCCCACCAGGTGGCCGAGGGGTTAGCGTGCCTGACTGCGTAGCCGATGGTTGCGGGTTCGAATCCCGTTCAGGGCATGGATGTCCTTTCTTCTGTGTGATTGTGTGAATGTAACCCGCCCTATAAACGGGTTTGTGGTTGTATGACGTGGGCGAAGCTACTCCACCGACGTGGCTTAGCCATAGGTGCTCACTGGGTAACGATAAGGGAGTAGCAATTCTGGCATTTCTGAGGCCAATGAGAAATAGACTCAAGTGCCCGCCATTAACCAAAAAAAAAATCTTAATTGAACAAAACAAAAATGACTACTATACTTTTGACGAAACTTGTTTCCTTAAAGTAGTAACAATTATTTTGTCACTTTGACGAAATGTTTGCTCGGAGCATATACCACGAAACGATTTTGTCAAAAACGAAATTTCATGAAATTTTAGTATCTTTTTTGTGTGTGTCCTGTTTCATGACTTATAATATTGTTCACACCACTCAAATTTATCAGCATATTTAAAGTCAACCTCTTGAACATTAAGCTTGCGTCTTAAAGTAAGTGACAATCCAAATATGATAAAAAATTTATTCAGTTGTTTTGTTTTTTATTTTGAGCTCTGTACAGCAAAGCATGTCAAGTCATTCATTACGTTTTCGTATAGGTTGTGACCTATGTAAACCAAATTAATTAAAAGAAAAAGCTTTTTCACTCTTGCTTAACTTTACGCTTAATTTAACTTTTATTATGCTTAACTTCAGTTAAGCGTAATATTTTTTTTCTTCATCAATGTTTAGTATATATTTTTTTCTTTTTTCTTTTTTGGTCGGCAACGTGTCCAAAATGTTGGAATATTACTAGAGTAGGTACAATTTTGCAAAATAATAATATAAACTTAAGCCTAGGAAAAACAGTAAAAGTTAGAAACATATATTAGCCTCGATTTTCAGATTACTATGGATTCCAGGACTCCAAGGAACTCCATCCAACAATATCAATAGATTTTCATCAAATTTTCTTTACAACACACCATGGTTTCGGTACTTTAAATATGTACTGTGTCGTTTATAATTGGGACAGTACAGCCGAATCCGGCTCTTTTGCCATTCAATTTATATAATCCATCACAACCAATTAGTGGATTAAGCTTCGAAAAAAGACACCACTATTTCGTAACATTTTTTTAGTAAAACAATCTATAAAGGATATTTTTCCTAATGTTTTTAANATAAGTTCAAAATGTAGAGAAAACAATGGAAAAATTACAGAACAATGAAAGAAGGGGGAAAAATAAACGAAAAATAATAATAAAAATAACAAGAAACCGAAAGAAAAAAAACGAAACAAAATCCGAAAAAAGGACAAAAATTTTAAAAAAATCTGGGAAATAAAAAAAAAATTTCCGGATTTTTTTTTCCGGTTTCCTGTTATTTTTATTATTATTTTACTTTTATTTATTTTTTCCCCTTCTTTCATTGTTCTGTAATTTTTCCATTGTTTTCTCGACATTTTGAACTTATTTTATGAGTTCTATTTACTTGCAGCTTATGCGCAATAAATAAAATAAATGTTTTTCTTAATTTTCTTCGTGTTTTTTGTATTTATTTATTATGCTATATACATATATTCCCCCATTTACTGTACTGTATTCCATTTTTACTGTACTAGATAGAGACTCAATGCTGTTGAAATCAACCAACCTAACATCCTTGATTTAAAGAAAAAATATATGCAAATGAATAATGCATGAACGACTATCACCATCAAAGTAAACAAAAAAGATATCGTATTACAGAGGGTTCCTTCTCCTAAAAGTTGTTACAAAAAATAAATAAATAAATAAAATAACCACAAAAAAAGACAGATAACCTCAGAAATGACAAGAATTCTTTACAAAAAGTCGTGTTAGGAGGAAAAAATCATTGACTGCTTATAGTTACGAAAATCACTGTTTTATTTAAAAAAGTGAAGAAAAAAATTATTGAAAAGGTGTAAAGAAAAATATACGAAACGTATGTTGTTCAGTAAAAATAAATACAAGTGAATACAAAAAATATAAAATAAATAAATAAATAAAAATTTTAAAAAAAATATTTTTTCTTTACAAAAAGTGGATTATCTACGCGTTATGGAGAAAAAATCATTGACTGCTAATAGGTACAAAAAGTATTGTTTTATTTAAAAAATAATAATTGAAAGATAATAAGTATAATTAAGAATAATTGAAAAAGTTCAAAGAAAAATATACAAAGCGAACATTTTTCAGTAAAAATAACTAAAAGCAAATACAAAAAAAAATAATAATAAAATAAATAAAAGATAAATAAACATTTTAGTATTGGCAAAAGCAACGCATAAAAAATAGAGGTAGTAAATAGGAATTTATAATTTAATTAAAGAACTCCAAGGAAATGTTGCATTTTTTTTATTAAATCCATCGTAAGTTAATCCTAATCTTAAATACAAAAGGTAGGTTAAAAATTTGAGGGTAGGCTTGTTCATAGATTGTAATTAAAGCGAGCAAAAATAAATAAATAAATAAAATTAAAAAATCTCTGAATAACTTTTGATTTAATGATTTTATTTTGACGTACTACGATTCAATCTTAATGGTTCGAGAGGATGAAATCAAATATTCTAAGTTTGTGCAGTCGATATTTTAAGTTATGAAATACGGCACAAAAACGTACCTTCCCTAAATAAACATACCTTTTTTTTCGACGGATTTGAATTCTTGAGACTGAATATATTAGAGGATAGCGGCAATGTGGGAAATATGGTCCCAATAGTTTGGTCGGGAGAGCGGTCCGAAATTTGAACCTCTTAATAATAATTTTATTTTTTGCGTATTTTTGCCATATTTCGAGAAATTTTTAGCGATTTGAAAAAAATTTACACACAATTATAAAATTCGTGTACTCAATATCATTCCGTGAGAAAAATAATTTTTAATAGTTATTATATTTTCTTATTTTTATTTAATGATAGCCGAAAAAATTTTGAATTGTAAGGCATGCACATTTTTACATCATTTTAAAAAAAGGTAATTTTACATGGAAAAATACAAAATTTGTCCGACATGGGTCGAATAGTTCCAGAGAAATCAAGTTTTAAATATATGTCTTTTTTAAAATACAAATTCCCAGGGACTATTCGATCGATTTCGATCAAATTTTGTATTTTGTCATATAAAACTATATTCTTTAAAATGTTGTAAAAAATTTGCATGCCTTACAAATAAAAAAAAATTTCGTCTATTATTAAATAAAATATAAAAATTATTGGTAGCAGGGAATTATCTTTGGATAAGCAAATTCTAAGTGCGTGCAAAATTTTTCAATTCATTAAAAAATTTCTCGAGGTATGACAAAATACGAAAAAATAAATAAATAAATGGATAAAGAATAAAAACCTAACATTAAGGAGTCCAACCTTTGGACCAAAGCATTGATTTCTCAGATTGTTGTTAATCCCCCCCTTCCAATATTTTGAGGGTCAGAGATCCGAATCCATCGGAAAAAAGGTATGTTTGTTCAGAGAAAGTACGTTTTTGTGTCTGATTTCGTAACTTAAAATTACTTCTGCACTAACTAGCATATTTGAGGTCACCCCTTAAGCCTTAAAGAATGAATCTTAACATGCGAAAATCCGATCATTTGATAAAAAGTGATTCAGAGTGATTTATTTTTCCTTCTTTTGCGCACTGTACATGTTCAACGATATAACACAAACACAACTAGGCATAGGAGACAAAATTTAATTTTATCTAATGATATGACATATAGCATCAAAAAATGGTATGCTATGGTTGCTTGAACGAAATTATTATATATATATACAATATATATATATATAAGAAAGTAATAATGATATAGAATTAGTAATAATGATATTTATTATCAAATTGAAAAAGGGCTCAATTGTCAGTTTATACATATATATATACATATATATATATATATATATATATATACACAGTAATATTAATATACTTTTGATTTCTCAAAGTTGAAGGAATGCTAAAAAAATTTCGTAATAACGAGTTTTCAAGATAACAAGTTCAGAACTAAATATGTTCTAAAAAGAAGAAAATACATTCTAAAATATTACTCAAAAAAGTAGAGTNATATAGTTAGTATATTTACATTTTACACATTAAATATGAAAACATTTAGATTTTGCACATTAGCAGATATAAGTATAAATTATTTTGATCAAACAAAATTTATTTAACCATGATAAGAATAATCACTCATATTCTGTTTCGATCATGTGAGCAATCATCTAAACTAGAAATGCTGTTTTTTTAAAAGAAATTTTTCTAGTGAAAGATTCGAAACTAAAGTGAAATAATTGTTTACAAACATCAACGGAACAAACAAAAGCATATATAAATAACTTGCTGTTACGGAAACATTAGAATAGAAGAAAATCTTTGGACTATTGACGCAAGAAAAGTTGAAACAGCAAATTTAATATAACAAAATTATTAAATAATTAGGAAATTTAATTAAAGCGAAAGTAAAACAAAAGTTTTACTCAATTACTATAGAGCAGCGGTTCTCAATTTTTCTCATCTATGGAACCCTAAATAATCAACCTTCTTTAGGCGGAACTCCCATTTTATTAATTAATTTATTGAGGTAATTGTGAACTTTATAACCTAAAAAGGACTATTTTCATAGTTTTATCCTTAATAATCTTAAATTAGGTTTTATTTGTTTTTGTGTATATACATTAAAATTAATAAAATAAGCAGCATTATGGTTTACTTCTAACTGAAAACTTAAAAGAACTGCTATAAACATTAAAAATTTTTATAGGGAAAACATCTTTCTTTATTAAAGAATTTAGTAACTTCATTTTGATTTGAACAGCTCAAAAGGAAATACTAAGCAATATTTCATAAATGCTTGTTCTTTTATAATTTATTCAATATATTGTTATTAGCAAATATGTTATTTTCTTATAGAATAATTATTTATTTATTATTAATTTATTTTCTTATAAAAAAATATCATCTCTATTTCAGAGGCATTTTACTGGAAATAATTTCACAAAAGCAACCGAAAGATAAAGTAAATTATTAACTAAAGGTTCGATTTGAATATAATTGAAGATTTAAAAACTCATCACTGATCATAAAAAGTACTAACTCGTGGAACCCCAGAGTTCCTCGGAACACCATTTGGGAACCCTTGCTATAGAGTATGTAGGACAAACTTTCATAGCATAAGTAAGACAAATATAAAAGTAGGTAAAGTTACTTGCTCTAACAAAAACATTGAAATGGAAGAAAATCTTTAGACCAATGACGCAACTAAAAACAAGAACAAATGTAATAAAATTAAAATGTTAAAAGAAAAACACAAACGAAAAATTTAAAAAGTTGATCAAAAGGTAAATAATAGGGGAAAGTAAACAAAAGTTTCATTCTCTTAGTTCAGTAAATATAGAGGATAAACTGTCATAACATAGGACAAACATTAAGGGGGGGGGGGTAATGTCAACAAATTCGAAGCACCCCTATCGGTCAAAACATAACTTATAGTGTTATAAGTTAAATTTGGACCAAACACAGATTTTCAGATATAAAATACTAACACTTCTACTTATAAAAACAGAATTTCTAACCGGGTTCAAAAGCTGCAATATGTAGATAGTCTTGATAGCGTGGGGGGCATTCGAGAGACAGGGGTCTGCGGGCAGGCAGTTCCTCCTCATCCGAGTGCTCCATTGCCTCTGCCGTTACTTTCCCAAACGATCGATCCTTTGCTTCACCCTGACGTCAGGGCGCTGCGGCGTCATCAGAATCACTCAAATTGCAACAAATCTTTTCTTGTTGGGTATTTAATCTTTTTTTATAAAAAAAACCCAAAATCTTTCATGAATCTGAAGTGAGAATTTAATTTTTATCTTTAAATATAACTAAACCAAGATAATATTTATTTTGAAATCGCTCAGATAGATGAAAAATATGTTAAAGGGGTTGATGCGTCAATCGATATTGCTTAGAAAAGACGAACAAAAGTATTCAACCCACCTACCCCACTGAAGGGGTGAAGCTATTTTAAAAACAGAATCGTATTCATATGGAAATTACTAAAAACTCCTCTTAAACCAAACGGGTTGAATTATACAAAGCAAAGTATATCTCTAATTTTTGATACTACCCTCCTTACTTTTTACTTTCTTAAAAAACATTAATACATTTGTTTAAATTAATAAATATTAAACAAATGGTAAAAATAATAACGTTAATATGAGACACGTAGAAAAAACTGTTTTTGTGGGCTTCTAAAACATTTTAAAAACACTAAAATAAAATAAAAATTAAAAACTTTGCAGACCTAAGATTAAACCCAAGCCTAGTTTCTGAATTATTTAATGCTTTTAATCAATTATTTAATCATTTAAAAATAAATGTCTCCCTGAGTACTCCAGCGGTCTTTTCCTCCCATTTAGTTAACGACACCAGATCATCTTGACTACTAAATGAATTCTCGTTTACGCTTAGCTCAATATAGATATAGTTTGTCTATATAAAGAACTCCCCTCGCCACAAAGTCTGAGGTTGTCAGCTGCTATGGAAGCAAGAAACAGCACATTTTAAAGAGGGGAGTTTTTCTTCCTTCTGATTCTCTTTCTCCCTCTGACTCCAGCCAAAACCTATCTCCTTTACTTGAAATAGTTAAACCTCGTAACCACAGTCACCGAACTATACATGACGAACGGCGAGGAGAGTTCTTCCCATAGACAGACTGTTGTTGATTCCGGCACTTGTTTCATCGTAGGTTATTCCAGACTTTTTGTGAAAGGTCCGTTTTTATGCACTCGTGAAAAAATGCAAAAACCAATGGTCGATTCAGACTTTTTGTAAAAGATCCGTTTTATGCACTCGTGAAAAAATCCAAAAACCAATGGTCGATTCAGACTTTTTGTGAAAGGTCCGTTTTATGCACTCGTGAAAAAATGCAAAAACCAATGGTCGATTCAGACTTTTTGTGAAAGGTCCGTTTTATGCTCTCGTGAAAAAATGCAAAAACCAATGGTCGATTCAGACTTTTTGTGAAAGGTCCGTTTTATGCACTCGTGAAAAAATGCAAAAACCAATGGTCGATTCAGACTTTTTGTAAAAGGTTCGTTTCAGTGAAAAATCTACTCAGAACTTTTTGAATGAGAGAATAAGGTTCTGTTATGTGAATAAAAAAACACACACAAAAAAAAAAACAAATCTTTCAAGGAGTTTTAGTTTTAAAACTACGACTAACTGTTTTTCAAAAGAAAAGTTCTGTGAAGGCGTGTTTTTGGAAATGAATTTCGCCTAAGTGGCCCCAGGTCATTCGAAATTCAACTCACATTAGTTTAATCCGTTGAGGACTACTACTACCAGGGTATTCATAATCTTGTATCCATAAACAGATATTCAAAACAAAAACATGGATTGCAGTTTGTTTTTTCTTCTGCGTACATGAAGAGTTCGGACAGTGAAAGTTAAGATTTTTATTCTGTTTTAACAGTGATTGTCGGCCAAATTTAGTTATTTTAAATCTTAAACAGTTTCAAAAACAGTTTACCAATCCCACCGTCAATTCAAGGAAAATACGAAATAATCGAACTCTGACTATGAGCCGCGATGGCTCAGGGGATAGAGCATTCGCCTTCCAATGAGGTGAACCGGGTTCGAATCCCAGACGATACGAATTTCGCATCGGCTTGCACCGACCACAGTGCTGACGTGAAGTATCCTCAGTGCTAGCAGATCATGGATTAGAGTCCTCTTGCTCTCAGGCTAACCGTGAGAAGTTCTCGTGGTCTTCCACTCCATGTAACGCAAATGCGGGTTTGCTTCATCAAAAAGTTCTCCACGATGGCAATTTTTTCCCAATACTTGATCCAGGAGTTTCCATGTCTTCTGNTTAGTAGTCGTAAACCCATAAAATTGGGTCGGCTGTTCAACGACGGTTATAAAATAAAAACTCTGACTATTACACTACTTATATTTAAATACATTAATGTGCATAAAAGTCCTTTGTGCACTTTATGCAATCAGAATTTTGAGATGGATTGAGATCAGTTGCTAAAAAGTTCTTCGTTGAAATACATAATTTAACTTTCAACACATATTTGTTCTGCACTGGTATTTGTTTCCTGCGAGCAAATTTTAAACTAATAAAATGTTAAATTGCAACAATTAAAAATTTAGTTTTAAATATTATGTTGAATTGTTATGTTATATTGAATGTAATGTTATGTTGAATGTAATGTTATATTGAATGTTATGTTATGTCGAATGCTACGTTATGTCGAATGCTATGTTATGTTGAATGTTATGTTGAATGTTATGTTATGTTGAATGTTATGTTATGTTGAATGTTATGTTATGTTGAATGCTATGTTATGTTGAATGTTATGTTATGTTGAATGTCATGTTATGTTGAAAAATGGAATGCTGTTGGATGTTATGTTAAATTTTATTTATTTCTCGTTTCTATAATATACAATAACAGCTAATAATTTGGTTACGATAAGAAATATATGCTAAAAACGATTAAAAAATTAAGAATTATTATAGCTATATTTGCAAGTTTTTGTGGCTAATTTCAATTTCCTCTTAAATAATATAATTTTTTTTTGAAAACGACCACCTTTAATATATATCTTTACAATGCTTGTCGGAGTTAAGAAATTATACACATAAGGAGTCATTAATTTATATTTATAATCACTGAAACTTGTATTAACATTTTACAGCTCACACATTCGTACCCTTTCCCGACAAAACTTTTAAGAGGACGCCTTACCAAGGGAGAAACTTATAGTTGCAAATTCTCATTCAACTCCATTACTAGTTTAAACTTTAAAAGAGTCAGTCAGTTGAGAAGAGTCAGTCAGTCAGTTTAAGTCAGTTGAGTCAAACCTAGAGTAAGTCATGTAGTTTCAATAGCAGAAAAAAATAATAAAAAAAACAAAACATCAAAATGCAAACAAATTATTGGAAGAGAACTTCTCCATTGCGTAATCCTAAGTTATCTTCTCATAACTTACTTTCATTTTGATATTTTATAAATTTCTTTTCAGTATTTGAAACTTCATTGCTTACTCTAGGCTTGTCTGAATTCACTTTTTCAATATTTTAAATTATTGATGGAAGTGAAAGAGAATTTGCGACGACAAGTTTCTCCCGAGGTATGGCGTCCTCTGAAGAGACAATCGCCATCTTGTAATTCAGTTTTCGCTTTCTCGATATTTTTTGTTTTTAACAAACTTTGGGCGATATGGAATTGTTTGACAGCACAGTACCTTAAAAAAAGTGAATTATTCTTTATTAAATTGGAAGTGATAGCGCTTGATAATTTTTTTTAAAAATTTCAATGAATTTCTCCTCAAAACTTTAAGGCAATACAAATTATGTCATTTGCGGTTTTTAGTAAGAAATTTAAAACTACACATCTGTCAGCTTTCTTAAAATTTAATTTTCTTGCTGTTTTAACTGATGAAAACCGATCTGAATGGGGCTAAAAAATTCTTTTATCTTCATACCTGCCAACTTTTAATCCTCTCCATTATCATTTTTCCCAGTGGTATTAAAATGGAATTAAAATTTCAATTTTAAGCAAAAAAATACGTTGTATTTGAAAAAACTTAAGCAGACAGCCATGATTGGAACTCACATTAATATATGTGCTTAATTTTTTTAAGAATAGTGTTGATCAAAATCATTTAAAAATTAAGTTTATAAAAGAAAAAATAGCATATATTTACTACCACTTTTAATATGAAAATGAAATTTTACGCCAAATGCGTAAAAGTTGGCAGGTATGTATCTTAATTGCACAAAAACAAAGATATTTATCAAAAATCTAAAAACAGATAACAGTATGGCATACTACTTTTTTTTTAAATTTTATAACCGTCGTTGAACAACCGACCCAATTTTTTGGGTTTATACGACTACCAATTTTCAACTCCGTAGCCTTGTAATTTTGAACCCAATCTAGAAGACAAGGGAACACCCAGATCACGCATTGGGAGAAATTTGCCTTCGTGGAGGAATTTTTGATGGAACTAACCCGCATTTGCGTTACAGGAAGAGAAAGACAACGATAACCGTTAGTCCGACGGCAAGGGGACTCTAACCCATGATCCGTCAACCACTGAGGATATTTTACATCAACACAATGGTCGGTGCAAGCCGGAAGCGGAATTCGTATTGATCAGCCGTCGCTGGGATTCGAACCTGGTTCACATCATGGGAAGGCGAACGCTCTATCCCCTGAGTTGGTATACTACTAACTACATTTCAAGAACTGATAATTGCAGAATTGTATTGGCACAATTTTGTCAGAAAAATTAATCGATAATTTAAAATACCACACGCTTTACATCTCAAATTCTAATTGCTACATGTTTCGAAAGATAGTAAACAAAATAAATATCCACCATCAGTTTAAATCAAACTGGCAAGAAGCACATGTATGTAAACTTATCGTTAACGGGATTTAGCGAAAGTTTCAAAATTTAGATAGCGGAACTCCGTGAAAATTTCGTTGGATTATATAAGTTTTTGATTCGTAGGAGTCCGCGAAAAAATGGTATTGAGATACGCGGAGTTGTGCGAAATTCACGGAAAAATCACATGCCCTGTTCTTAGTTTTTACCCGGAAAATGAAACGAAAAACCCACTATATAATAACCCTTGTAGAGAGGACGCGTCAAAAATACTAATTAACCTAAAAGAAGATTTGTTTATTTAAAGAAAGGGTTGGTTGAATTTTATCGTCTGCATTTGTTAATTAGCATATTTGAGTTGTCCTCCTCAAACTTGTATTATTATTAATTTTAAATGCACGAAAAGTCGATTATTGGATTCGTGAACTCCCTATCTGAAGGATAAACCTACAGTAAAGACGTTCTATAATAAACACCTTTACTATATATTTTTAAAATTGTTACCAAAAGTAAAATAAAAAAAATAGTATACACGTCAGAGGTCACAAATTAATTTTTAAGTAAGCT